TCCTTAAGCACAGATTTTCATTTGAACTGACAGAACTCAAGCCCTTATAACATTTTGTTCCAATTCTAATTCAATTGCCACAGCATTATGTAATTTTTGAAATAAGATTTTTTGGTGTCCATTTTGGCTAACTCTATATTGACCCGCTTTGAGTTTTCACTCGTAGAGTCGTCCTGAATCACATCTGACCAACAGACCCGTTTTCAGTTGCTTGCAATTTTTCGATGTTTTCAATGATATGATTTTTCTCTAGCTCCAAATACTTCTGACAATGCATTTAATTTTGTAACAAAAATTGTTGTTGATGTCCTAACTAGAATTTTAAATTGATCCGAAAATTAAAGGTTAAATTTGATTTTGATATAATGTCTATTTTGGAAACTCTGTATTTTCAGCAGCTCGTTTGAAGTTTTTTTGCTTATGTCAAAAGCTTAGTTTTAGTTTGATTATAATTTCTACAATTTTTAAAAATCTGAATCAGGAAATAGCCAAACTACTCTGCCGATAAAGATGAATGGAAACGCTTTATACTTAAATTATGTAGTTGAGTAAAATTTCAAGTGTTGCGAAAAGTCATTTGGGAGATAAAATGTCAATTACTTAAATTGTATGTCAATTAATTGGATTGGGTTCTCCGCATTTTTCAAGTGTCAATTGATCGCATTTTATTGATTATCGCTCATAGTGTTTGCTAGGTCGTTTTTTGATTTAAATGTATGAATCAAGATCAGAAATAGCTTTATCTAAAGATTCATTGGCAGAATGAATCGGCAAACCGAATCATTGGAAGAAGATTCATTGGCTTAACAAAGTCACCAAAAATAAACCCGGCTTTGCTGAAAAATTTTTCTGCCATGTGCAATTTTGCTATTTGGAAGCTACCAAAAAATTTTCTTTTACTCGCTTAACTCGGATTTACAGAAATAACAACATTTCTAAAATTCAAACTGAATTTCTTGCCTATGTTTGTCAGGGTGGCGTCCCTCATGCTTGAAGGACCGAATGCTTGAAACTTATTTTAGCTTACTTTCAGCCAATCAGAATTGAGTATTCAAAATCTCAAAGTAAATCGCAAAAATCTCAAAGTTAAAAAATTAATCCAGGCCATTAGTGTTATTACTCACCGATTAGATAATAAGCAGATGAGTTTTCAAGACTGAAAAATTCGTATGAACTTGAACTCATAAATTTTGATGTTTATCTCAATAGTATTGCGGTTGTAACCCGCAATTTGTAAAATTTTTGATTATTTTCCTCTGACTTAAAACATTTTCTGTTAATATTGACTTCGATTTTGTGAGAAAGGCATTTAGCCAATAGGAACGCTTAGCGATTTTGATTGGTTGAGACTTTTCAAGCATTTGGTCCTTCGAACATGAGAACCCTGCCCGTTCGTCAGTAGTCAGTAATTGGAAAAAACAACCAATTGACATCTCCCAAGCCCTGCAAATTGTCTCACATTTTTCTGCCCAAGGTAGAACCTTAAGAAAGATCGAAATAATTAGAAAATATTTTTGATGATATTTCAACTGATACACAACTGATTTGAGGGCGTAAAAAATTTCGACCCTAGAGCGTAATCAGTATTTTTACATTTCAGGTGTCAAACTTTGAATTATGTTCAAACATTTACAGGGTATCGGGTGTCGAGATTTATTTCAATTAAGACCGTTATGAAAATGTTATTCACTTGTAGACAAAAGACCAAAACAAGAATAACATCTCGACAAAATTTGCCATACGCTCCAACCAAATTAAAATCAGACGAATTTCGGTTCCAGTCATCTGCAACAATTTAAATTTACTAAAAACACTGATTCTCGCTCCCTATTGTCTGGTGTTGAGTTTAAGCGCAGCGGAGCAAGCGTTCGCTACTTGCCAATGCCGTTTGTAATGGATATTTTTTAGAATAATTGCTGCCTTGATAGTTTGGCTGAAATGTCTCCGGTTGAATGGTAGTGATTTTGGCCGAAATTTCGGCCTCGAACATTGATGCTCTGTTACAGAATTACTTGAGATAATTTTTGAGGATTCAAGCAAAAATTTTGACTAAACCACATAGATTCTTACAGCAATGCTAAAAAAAAATTGTCAAACTATGGTCTTGATAATGTTCTGAGAACGCTCAAAAGATAGCTTGGTCGACTTAAAAAAACAAAGTGAGCAAACTTTTGGAATTTTTTTGAAAACCCGCCTCACTCCAGAAAATCTAGATTCGCGCCTGGACTCACATTTCACAAGTTTTACAAAAAGCATGTCCTTAAACATCTTTTGGTTCGTTAAAAAAGTAAAAAAAAAATTCCAAGTCTGACAAACGTTTGTAATTTCCAAATGCTTGTCGCAACACAATGCAAAATATTGTAAAATCTAATAATTACGCAAAGTATTTTCAGTCAGTTTATGATCCTGCGACTCGGGTAGAACTAGAACAACAATTTTTTTGAAGTGGTTTTGTGTGAAAACATGTTTTTCTTACCAAAGTAAGTTTTTGGCTCTTTTATGCTTGCTTTTCAAATTTTGTGTCTCATGCACTAAAAGGCCCAAAATCAATATTTCTATACCTTGAGCCAGAATTGAGCAATTCTGATTGGCTAAATGCTCAAGATTCTGGTCTTTATCCTGAGCGATTTTGATTGGCTAATACGTTTAGAGGTTTCAATAAAAAATTATCCTGCAGACAAAAATATGAGCCAAAATAACCAAAAAGGTGAAAATTTTTCAAATTAAGAATTTAATTTCATATCACTTTAAGAATTTGCCCAGACAAGGGTTGTACTGTAAAAACACTTCAGCAAAACAAAAACCAAACTATCAGTTTCAACAAAAACAATTTTTGTGCAAGCGATGTAGAAAAAACCTGACTTTGGGCTGTTTAGTCTATAAGGTTCTAAATTTCTGACGTCATTTCTTTTCTTTGACGGTTGATTTTTGAAATAGTCCTTTTTGTAAATTTAGGGATGTTTTCCTATAGGGACATTAGCGTTTTTTTTCTAATTCAATTTCTTCTCAAATTTTTTGTTGCATTCGTAACCAAACACAACTGGCAAAGACCCTAGTTACTCGACGCTATAGTCGACAAAGGTTGGACGATCTTGCATGCACAATGTATTGGAGACAAGCTAAGAACAGATGTCATACACAAACAATGTATTGAAAGTGACAAACTTCTAATTTTGGCAAAAATTTTTGATGCTAATTTTTCGAAATTGAAATTTTAGTTAGCATAGCTAAAAGCATGCAAAAAAAATGCAGCAAAAAAAATTTTGAGCGTTTTTGAAAAATTTTTTAGTGGATTTAGGAAAAATTATCCAGTTTTTGTGCATCTAGGGCTACTTTATGCACACCAGAAAATAAATTTTGCATGCAAGAAAGATTGTTTGAACCCAAGTATTGTCTTGAGCTTGAAAACAATACAAAAAATAATTTCGGACAATTTCGAAAAAAAACTTCATACGTTTTTTAAGGTTGCCATCAAAAAAGTGTTAGTCGTAGAATTTTCAAACATAAAAATTGCATGAGTAGCATTTTTTGGTCAAAAACTTTTTATTTTCTATTTTTGACGTTAAGCGTATTTTTATTTCAAAGCAAGAAAAATGTTCTCTTACGATTCTAATACACCATTTCAGCAAAGCTGTATGAAAATGCACACCAGAAATAAAATTTGCATGCAAGAAAGTTTGTTTTGAACTCAAATTTTGTCTTGCGCATGAAAACAATTCAAAAAGTTTTTGGACAATTTCGAAATTACTTCATGATTTTTTTGAGGTCGCCATCAAATTAATATCAGTCATAGAATTTGCATATATAAAAATTGTATGAGTAGCATTTTCTTGCCAACAATTTTTTCTTTTTTATTTATGACGTTACGCGTATTTTTATTCCAGTGATTTTTGTTCTTAGACTTTGTTTATGGAATTGTATGATAGGCATTTTCGGTCTACGCAGGTCACTCCGTGTAAATGTTTCAACTGTCCGTCAACGTATAAAGATCAGCCGTAAAATTTTCTCCGCCAATTCAATCGAATTAGGGGGGATAGATATTTCGAAATATTCACAAGATAACTTTAAAGAGAAATGTTATATCACCTGCATTATAAATTATCGAAACATATTTGAAACTTCAATTTTACAAACTTGTAGCCTATCAAAATACCAATTGCTGTAAGAAAAATTCGAAATAATTACATTTTGCTTGTTAGTATGAAATGCATATTTTATACAGAATTATTTTTCGTATTTAAATGCTTGGGTGGACAATGTACGGTGAAGGGGGGGGGGAGTAGATTGTACGATTGATTGTTGGTGTAACAATGAGTTACAGTATGAGGTATAGCTTTAGGCAATGATTCTAAAGGTCTCAAAATTAAGATGTTCCGAAAAGTCACTATAATTCTTTTTCTTCTGAGCATGTAGAACTTCTCCATCCCACTCAACTGATACCAAATTCTGATTGGCTCAAGATTATTCTTGCAGCCAGGCAGGTGGGATCTAACAACATCTCTGGGGGGGGGGGGGGGTTTCGTTGTTGCGGATTTTCAAAAAATGACGTTTTGTTTTCATGACGCCTTTATTTTTTTGAGGAATTTATTTTCATGGCCTTTATCGAATTTTCATGACTTTTTTACTCGACCTCTGTTAAACCCAAATTTGGGCATTTTTGAAACAATGTTTGTTTGCTCTCAAAAACGGCATATATAAAGAAAAAAATAATCAAAGTAGACTTTATGACACACCCGCCACCAGATTTTTGACACACCCGCCGCCAGATTCTTTCAGTTTACCTAAATCTCAAGGTTATTGGCAAACTTCTGACTGTTCCAAGTATATCCCTTTAAGTTTTGTTGATGTTTGCTCAAAAGATTTGACAAGAAATGAGCGGCTTCTTCAGTTTTTGTTGACTCTAACCCTTCGAAGATATTGTTTTAGTTTTTTATCTTTGTCCCCTAGAGAAACATCTGACGTCGAGGCTTTAGCAGCATTCTTATCAATAAAAGGGTGTACAAAAGAATCAGTCTTTCACGAAACATTTACCTTTTGTGATTTGCAAATTTACTATTAATTCTTACTTTCGTCCTTTACAACAATCAGTTGGTTAAATTGTTTTCATCAAAAAATTTGTCTAATTAGTTTTGTGTTATTGCTAATTAATTGCAGGTTGCTGAGTTTGATTATCGGATGCGGATCATTGAGCATAATTAACAATTAAGACGAACCGCAAGCTCAAATCAGCGTGTTCGAGCTCGCGATAATGTGAAGATAGTTCGACAACTGTGAGTTTTCTTGTCTTAAATTTTTTTAAACCATGAGATAACTTTATTGTGAAAAAAGTTATCAGATCTTCAACCATATTGATCTTTATAGTCAGTATAGCAAAAAAGTTGTGGAGCAAGGAATGTTGGTTTTATTTAGCTATTTATTCCCAACTATCCCAAAAAAAAACTCATTACGAGGCCAAACTGTGCACTGGATAGCCGCACAATTTTGTGTGTGTATGTTCCTGGATTCAAAAAACAAACCTTTAAGCATGTTCCAAAATTTCAGTGGATTCCACTTACAAAAATTCCGTGGATTCCGCGTACAAATATCTGTAACGTAAATTTTGTCGGCTTATTTGTTGTGCCGCTGATTCAGCAACAAGCGAATATAGATAGTTGTTCTGGATTCCGCAACTGTAAGAGGATTCCACAAAGTGTAAGTGGAAACCGCAAATGTAAGTGGAATCGCCAAAATTTGTATGCGGAATCTGCAAATATAAGCAGATTCCGCAAACTAGAAGTGGATTCAGAATTTTTCTTATTACTGACGTTGCCTATGAACAATCAAAAGCCAGAGCTGGACTTCTTATCTATAGCAAGGCGGAAATTAAAGGCTAGGACTTAACCATTGTCAGCGGAATCCACGAAAAAATCTCAAAATATTAGTTAACTAAATCGGTGGATGTCACCTTTAAGTATTTTGAAAACACAACATAGAATGAGTTCAATACTCGGAGTCATTGGGTTCAAAGTGTATTGAAACCCAACAAACAGCATATCGCCAAATAAGGCCAGTATTTGGAATTGCGTCATTCCTAAATACTGATTTTGGAATCAAAACGCCGAATAAATTCAATATTTATAGTCATTTGGTTGAGAGTGTATGGAAACACAACACACAGGATGTCGCCAATTTAGGTCAGTGTTTAGAATTGCGTCATTCCTAAATACTAATTTTGGAAGCTTAATGCCGAAAAAATGTGCAATATTTGTAGTCATTGGCTTGAGAGTATTTGGAAACACAATGCACAGTATATCGCCGAATTACGTCAGTATTTGGGATTGCATCAATGCCAAATACTGATGCAGTTTGGGATTGCATCAATAGTGGGTTCCGATTCTAGTGAATTGAGATTGAAGTTGAGATCGAAATTGACAGGATTTGAGATCAAAGTTGGGTTGACAGGAAATGAGACCAAACGTTTGGTATTTCAACTGTAGTTGATCAATGTAGTAAATTAGATTGATTTTTCTGGTGACCAGTAATTAAAAGGTATAAGTTTAAACGCTATACTACACATATACATATATGTAAACGGAATCCGCAAACAAAATGCGGATTCCACCTACAGTTTGCGGATTCCGCTTACAGTTGTGGAATCCGCAACAGCTCAACTTAACCATACAAATGTCTTATTATTTATTCTTAACTGTTCCGGATTCCGCAAATACGGTTGCGGATTCCGCAAAATTGGAGTGATTCTGAGCGGTACAGTGTTGTAGGTATTTGTTTGTGGAAGACAAAACAGCGAAGAAGATCAAATAAAAGTAACAAAGTTGCGGATTCCGCGACAAATCTGATTTTGGCTTGTTGCGCAATCCGCTTACAATGCACAGAATGCACAGTTTGGCCTCGTAATGTTGCGATCTGTGAAAATTTTCAAATCTTGAGGTCGGGTTTTTTTTAATAAATTTTTGTTCTTTATTTCGTGTAACCCAATTTTTTTCAATTGCTATGTTATTTTTTTCATCATTAACGGGAAAACTGTGATTTTTTCCAGAAAAAACGTTATAATTAGAAATTTTGCAGAAAGGTACAAGTATGATAGTTAGGTCCCAGGAAAAAGCAAGTATGAAAGATGGGTCGCGCAGTTTTTGTGAAAACTTCAAAACGCATGTAAACAAACGCGAACCATGTTTTTGAAAAATTTGAAGCCTAAAAATTTTTTTTTCATGGATCCATCTAAAAATAAGGGACCCAACTATCATATTTGTACCGGCAGAAATTGTTGTTATGTTTGTATTTATTTGTTTCTCCTGCGTTTTCTCCGACTCAAAATAGTTCTTTGCATTGATTTAAATACTATATTTCAGCAATCAAAGAACTGAATGCATCCGTTTAAAATGTTTCTCAAAATGAAAAACACTATTGACAATTATGTCCTTAAACAGCCGCCGGATTCAACAGCCGCCGAATTCTTTTCCGGAGCCATTTCTCTATTATACTTTCCGTCAGCCCTCAGAGTCACAGAATTTAGTCAAAGAAAAAATGGCGTGACAAAGCAAATAATGTCTCCATTACACTAAAAACTACATTTCCAATTAGCTGGTCGTTTTTACTTCCTGGGATATTTTAAAGTAGATCAAAAAAGATTGATCTAGAAAATCTGCGCCTAATTTCTTGAGGGTATGAAAATAAGGAGCGATAATTTTTGTAATCTCCTTCAGAAGCGCTTTCAATCCAATTACAACTCGCTGAGATTTCGCTGTGATAAAAAATAGGTCTGATTTTAATCCGACCAATCGATTGTGGGAAATGCAATGTCCTAATTAGTACTAAAAACGATTATATTTTTTCAATTTTCACTCCACTTTTTTCAATTTTTGACCGACCACCTGAACAAATTCAGTGGATGAGAAAACGAAAATGCATATATTTTTGCACATTGAGAAGTTTTTAGGCTCTTTATTATTGAAAATTTAATTTCAAGTTTTAACTACTGAGAAAAAGTTTCTGCGGCTCACATATTTAACAAGAGAGCTATATCACTTGGGCAAATTATATGAATCTGCTGGAGGTAAAGATAAGAAGTTTTCTACATACAATTCTTTTCATCATCAATAAATTTTAATAGAAAATTTTTTTTAGAATCTTTTGCTTAGAAAAGCTAGCGTCTCGAAAATGAATATTCAGTTAAAAATTTGTTTTGCAAGAAAAACTGCCTTGCAAAAAAACTTGTTTTTATTTAGAAGCTAACAAATTGCTTATTTTGACAAATTCTCAAAGTTTTTTTCTAAAAGCATTTTTTCAAACTTTGTTTCTCTAAAAATGGATCCTTGAATTTGAAAGTTTTTTAGTTCCAAGGCTGTTGTTTGAAAGTTTTAATCGGTGAGATAAAAATTTGAAAGTGAGAGCAAAATCTCTTTATACTTTAAAAATACGGAAATTTCTTCGAACTCCGTTGATATCTACATGTATCTATTTATATATACAATCGGGTCTGTTTTACAAACTTATGAAGCTTTAATCTGCAAACTTAGGTTTTCAAAAAAATCAATTCTGTTTAAGCAGAACCATGATTTTGATTATGAATGATGAAAGTGAAATAAAATAGAATGTAAAAAATTAGGAGCGACACTTTCTGTAATCTTTTTCAGAAACGCTTTCCGTACAGTTAACGCTCGCTGATTCTTTGCTGTGATAAAAATAGGTCTAATCAAAATATTAATTCGACCATGTAGAGTCGATCGCGTGAAAAACAATGTCCTAATTAGTACTAGAAACGATTGCGCTTTTTCGATTTACAATCCACTTTGTTCAATCTCAGACCGACCACCCTAACATGTTAAGTTGATGAGAAAACAATAATGCACACCTTCTTTGCGCAATGAGAAGCTTACGAGCTATTTATTATCAAAATTTTAACTACCGAAGAAAAAATATTGCGGCCCAGAGGTTTAAAAAGAGAACTATATCACTTGGGCGTATTATAAAAATCTGCTGGAAGTAAAGATAAAAATTTTCTGCATACTTTTCTTATCTTCGTCAGTAAACTTTGAAGAAAATTTTTAAATGACACTTGATTTTTATTTTTTTAGAAATAGTTCCAGTAGAGCTGTAAACTGAAGACAAGTCATTGGTTTAGACAACTAAATATAACTTTCTGGCCAAATTCATTTTTCTCAGTTAGCTGATTTGAATACATGTACATGGCCTAGAAGTAACGTGGTCTTTTTTGCATCCTAAGTATTGTGATTTGAGTCTCGGCCAGGATTTTTTTTCGTATGTATGCAATTGCGATTAATGGTTCAGTAAAAATTGAATTGTCGCACTTTCGTTTGACTGCTCAAGTTATGTTGTCTAAGTTACCGCATCACGGATTTTGCTTGTGCTATAAGCAGCTATAACTGCAGTTGCAAGTGTAAGTGTTAGGCATTCCATTTTCGGGATGATACTTGAACAACGTAAACATATTTTAAAATTTTCCTTTCGAGTCAATTGATGTCTGCTGAAAAAATTGTCGGCTTATTAGCCACATCGCTGAGTTTTCTCGTGTTGTAAGCAATTTTTATTGGAGTTGAAAGTGTTTTTCTCGTAGTTCCAAGTGAGACATAAAGTTTATAGAATTTTTACAAAATTGTTTTCTTTCGCCTCAACTTGTGTCTGTGTCTGCTCTGATTGTTTGCTTTTTTCCTCTACGCAGGTGGTATTTGTTGCCAATTTAATATTCAAATGTCTGGCAACCTTGCCGGGCACGTATCGTGACATACAAAATTTAAAATTTGGTAGACCTAGTTTTTTTTAACATTGTTGATTTTTTTTTGATATTTTTCGACTTCCTATGTTTCTTTTATGTTTCTGCTCATTCGCCAGTGGTGCGAAGTTCTGCTTCGCATCTGTGTTAATTTTATGTTTTAGATCTCATAAAACTTTATAACATTACGAGGCCAAACTGAGCTTTGGATAGGTGAGGTGCGCATTTTTGGGCCTGTATGTTCCTGGGACAAGTCTTTAAACATGCTCCAAAATGTAAGTGAATTCCAGCTACAAAATTTCAGTGGATTCCGCGTACAAATACCTGTAACGTAAATTTTGTCGGCACATTGATGTAAGCGAATTCCGCAAATGTAAATGGATTCTGCAAATTTATCCGGATTCCGCTTACAATTTGCGGATTCTGCTTACAATTTGCGGGTTCCGCTTACAATTTGCGGAATCTGCTTACAATTTGCGGATTCCGTTCGCAGTTTGCGGATTCCATTTACAGTTGCGAATTCTGCGACAGCTTAAGTTC